TGTGTGTGTGTGACAAATGAACGATTTTAAAGTGAATTTAGTTTAAATTAAAACACGAGAAATATTTAAAGTAATAGAAGGTTAAGTATCTCTGTGTCACGTGGTTTTGTTTGTTTACCTTTAGTTAATTACCTAAACAGATGGACTATAGGTAAGATTTCAAGACAGTTTAATCAGAAGATAAAATTTGTATTAAATATAAATATTTTGAAATGTAGGAGAGCCATGCAACAAGCCATGCAAGCAACGCTTGCGTAGTGTTTTGAACCTCATGCACACGACGAAACACACAAAAGTGGAAATTTTTAAGAATACGAATATTAGTTTAGGTATAAACAGCGTGATATGTTTACTGTAAGAGTGACTATACATCGTGTCCCGTGTTGCAGCCCCGGGCCCGCGGCCGCGCCCCCCGCCGGGGCCCCCGCGCCCCCCGCCGGGGCCCGCGCGCAGGGCCCGCAGCAGGCGCCGCAGGTACTTGAGGAGCCCGCTACTAGTCTGTAGACTGAGTCTCCACCGTTGCTCATTGACAATTCATGGACAGTAATCTACCGCCACGTACGATGTTCCATTCCCTTGTGGCGCTCACTAGGGCGTGCTCGGGATGTCTACTCAGTATTATCGCGCAGTGCACATTGCATGACGTAGTGTTGGCTACAATAACTAATAAATTTAGTGTTTTGTAATGGAAGTACATCGAAACAGAAACAGCTTCGAAACCATAAAATGAGTATGTAACATATAGAAAGACATATTCACCTGTAACTAACGTACGGAGCGGAGTAGCTGTAAGTGAATGACTGCGTACACTAGAAGAATGTATGTACCGGGTGATCGCATGACGCTTTTTTTTTAAGTTGACTTGGGTTTTCTCCTGTGTCGTGGGTGTATTTACAAACATACAAGTTCACATACACATCACACCCTGATCCGAAATAACAATTTGTGCATCCCACAAAGAGTTGTTCCGTGTAGGAATATAACCCGCTACAGATAGCGCGGCAGCCGGTGGGGCATGCACCGTGCCGTATGGTTGCTTTGCTTCGAGCTCCTTGTCGCTTGGGAAGTGGCGCGACCTGGCCGGGCCGCGCGGCGGATGGCATGGCGACCCGCGGTCTACTGGCCGGACGGTTCAGTTTTATGTGTCGGATTATTCTAAATACATCAACAACCTCGCAGCACTTACCAACATCATAGTCAACAATTTTTGTTCCACGACTTTAAACTTTTTATAAAAGTTAAGGAAAATAGTCACACATCGTCCTCCGAGAGTGTTGGTGTGTTTGCAATAATCTTGTATAATGTTTCGTCTGTAATGACGAACATTAGTGGAGGCGCACTATAGCTAGTAGTAACATGGACCTTAATGCTAATGTAGCGCAAGTGCCTTACAATAACTGAGAATAATACGGATTATAAGTATGTATACATATATGTAGGCGTAGTGTAACAAAATTGTGAACAAAATACTTGTAAGTAGCACCGTAAGTGTATAAACGTTTGGTATACATCTACAGTGAAACTTGGTTAAGTGGGACCTGGATAAGTGAGAAACCTCCATAACTGGAACTCACGCTGAGGTCCCAACACTTTGGCACTGAATTACCTCTGTTAGTGGGACGAGGTAAACCTCTATATCTGGGATTTGTTCTTTCGATTTATCATCATAATTACCTCTATAACTGAGACAGCGAGTAAATTTTATATGCACAAACCTCTGTAACTGAGATAACATTGTTTGTTTACTCATTCTTATTCTACCCACAAATTCCACACGTAATTCCAAGTCCACCTCTATTAATGGAACCCTCTGTAAATGAGACAAATATTTATTTATACCTGTATATCTGAGACACTGGGTAAGTGGAATACCTCTTTAAGTGAAACGACATTGCAGGTCCCTTGATGTCTCACTTAACCAGGTTTCACTGTATTATGTAGTTGAGATACGTCGAATGTTCGGCCGAATCATTTAGTTCAAACCTGCGCTATAAACGGATCTATTTCTTCCTTTGTTAAGTACCTAGTATTTGTTACGTAAAATATGATATTTAAACATTCCGTAATAATTCGGTGATTCAACCCACTACGAACGCGAAATAAATATGTCGATTAACCGAATGCTCATATTCGGGGGAACATTCGGCGCGTCACCTTATGTGTAGTACGTAGTGTAGTTTGCTTGGCGGGCGAGCGGTGGCTGGACTGGTCAATAAATACATTTCCTTGCATGCTGTGTTTGATTTGTTGCTCGACCCACCGACGTAGGAGGCTCTCGGGGCCCGCGGGGAGACCTCACTAATGTATTCTGGTCTGCCGATGTTTCTTTATATCTGACCTGTGTCTCATTTCCTTCTTCGCAATTTTCAGTTTCACTCGGTGTTACGTAGCTTAATAGCCTTCCTTAATAATTATTCAATTTGAACCAGTAGTTCTGGAGATAGGCGTGTATAAATAAACTCTTAAGCTTTATTAGTATAGAGATTATTTATTTCATAACTTTCGTGAGACATACTAAATTAATTATTATGTTTTTCGGCTTACTTACTTGTTCTGTTCGGTTCAACCCATGCTTGTGTGTGTACATGTTGTTCTTTTTCTTATTTACATTTATGGAATAATAATGGAACATTAAACGAACATCAGTTCCTTAATAATACCGGCCCGATCCAGGAATGAAGTCTGAGATTATTATTGCTCGATATGTCATTCGAGTCATTTGGTGCAATGCGCTCACACCTCGATCCAACGTCGGCTCATATTGCGACAACATAAAATGGACATAGTAATACCTATGCAGGTACTTGATTCCTACCATACCTCGACTGAGTGTGAACATAGACAATAGTGATTGACAATTGTTTACAATCGTTCAATATCTGCTCGGCAGACGCGCGACTTGACACCCCGTAGGGCACTAATAATACACTGAAGATAATGATGTGTAGGTGGAGCCCGACCTGGACGAGCCGCCGGGAGACGCCGAGGCCGCCGCCCCACCCTGCAGGTAACGTACTGCGTTCCGCGTGACGTGACGTGACTTGACGTGACGTGACGTGACGTGACGTGACGTGACGTGACGTGGCGTGACGATTGCCGTGTGCGTGTCGCAGGCGGCTGGCCGAGAGTACGCCCGACCTGGTGCTGGACCTGCCCGCGCGGCCCGAGCCCGACACCGCCGACACCTTCGCGCACAACCGCGACACGCTGCGCAAGCGGCCCGCGCCCACTGC